GCTTCCTAGGCTTCACACTTTCCCAGTTACCTCTTATCCCTCAGAGGTCTTTGAGGAAACATGGACAGCTTCCATGTAAACGACATGAACAAACAAAAGAAAAGTCCTTCTCACAGCATCTCCCAGATCAACTTTACCTCCGCTGGTCCCAGGCTCAGTGCAGCAACCTTTACAGCTGTGCTGACAGTGCAGCAGCCACCTTGAGATTGCTGCAGGTGCTTTTTATTTCCCCCTCCTGGCCCAGGTGGGCTGGTTGCTCCTAATTCCCTACCCCTTGGTGAGCTTCCTTGCTGGGAAGCTCATCACCCATATCCATAGTAAAAGGGCCCAGCCACTTCAAAGGGGCCTGTACCTCCATTTGAAATTTCCAAAGGGGTCTGCACTTCCATTTGGAATTTGTTAGGGGTCTGCAAATCAGAAAAAGGTTGAAAACCAGTCAGTGACCTAAAGAGTGTAGCATTATACACAGCATCCCCACTTGACTGCAAGGATCAAAACTACTGTAGAACAGGGCAAATTTGGTCACTTTAACTGACTGCCAGGATTAGAGACCTATATGAGAGTGCCCCTTGTCAGGAAAGGGAAAATATAGGTTAAGGTACAGGGACATCTGGCTCAGGTTGGCCCTTGTCTGGAGAGGCACAGAATCAAAAAGTAGGGTTGGAAGGCACCTTAGTAAGTCATCTAATCTAACCCCCTGCTCAAGACATCCCTGTCTAAACCATTCTAGAGAAATCTTTATATATCCTGCTTTTGAAAACGTTCAAGGATGGAGATTCTATAACCTCTAGGTGGTTTGCTTCAATGCTTGGCCAGCTTCATAGTAAGAAAGCTCTTCATAATATCCAACCTAATGTTCCCTTGTTGCAATTTAAGACCATTGGGAGCCTATACATAAGCGCAGAGGCTGCTCCAATGTGCTGGAATTTCAGCGCGTCAAGTCTGCTGGAGTGTGGCAATTGTGTGCTCTAGCAGCATCCCGTGTCTCATGTATCAGTGTCCCCATGTTTAAAAATGGTGGTGGGGGCGCTTAAACTAAAGTTTGTCCAATGAGCTTTCGTTCAAGAGCCTCCACTGCCATTTTTAAGTGCAGGGATGCTGGAACAGGAGACACGGCAGCACTTTAATGAGAGCCTCTTGGACCCTCTATAATTAAAGCACTGCCCACCACCCCTGGAGCACATGTCAGAGTGCACATTGTTCCTTGTCCTGTCCCATGTGAACATGTAAAATAATCTATCACCATCCCCTTTAAAACCACCCTTCAAGAATTTGAAGCCTTGTTATCAAAGCTTCCTTCAGTCTTTCTTCTCTAGTCTAAATAATTCCAATCCTTCCAGCCTTTTTATATAAGTCATATTTCCTATGCCTCTAATCATTTGTGTTGCTCTACTCTGGACTCTTTCTAATTTTCTAATACCTAATAGCTATCTGTTTGGCTCCACATCTTTCTTGAAGTGTGGTGCCCAAAACTGGATACAGTACTCCAGTTGAGGCCTCACCAATGCTGAAGAGAGCAAAAGAATCACTTCCCTTCTATAGATAACATTGTCATCATTTGGACTGAAAACCTACAGCCTCTGATTGATTTCCATCACAAATTCAGTAACCACCATGGCATCACCCCTCCATTAGACTCTCTCTTGAATACTCCAGCATCAACATTTCCTTTGTAGACAGTATGATTAATATCCAGAATAGTAAAATGCAAACCACAATATACAAGAAACTCATGGACCAACATACATATCTATGCAGAACCAGCAATCACCCTAAACACACCAAGAAAGCTGTAGTATACAGCTAAGCCCTCCAATACCACTGAATTTGTACTGAGGAGAATGCCCTTGACCGTCACCTCACAAATCTCAAAAGGGCTTTCACCCACCAAGAACACTCCTCCAGAGATATAGATTGTACTTTTGAAAGAGCCACCAGGATACCATGTAAAGAATTGCTTCTGCAGAAAAAGAAAATCCCCACGAATTGCACATCATTAGTTATGACATACCATCCTTCCCTGGAACCTATATGGAAAATCCTCAAACAGTTGCAATCCATAGTAGAAGAAGAGATCTGATTCTAAGAGATTTTTCCAGGACCACCCACCCTACTCTTTAAAGAAGCACCAAACCATGCCACCTCATCACCAGAAACAAACTTCCTATGGCCCAAAGCACACTGAATGGATCCAGACCATGCCATGACAAGAAATGTAAAATCTGCCAACACATCTCCACCACCCCATCCCCATAAGAACTACATCCTGTCATGACCCAAAGGCATGATTTTGTGTGCGCTTCGGCACCAGAATTATCCCCGCCAAGTTGCAGCTTCATTGCACGGGAGAGTTTCCTGTTGCAGAGGAAAACCCCGGTGCAGGGACAAGTTTCCCGCCTTTCTGCAGCTTCTTTTGCAGAGTGCATTGCTCAAGTTGCAAGAGAAATGCACGGTGCAAAAGAGTTCCCGCCACCGGTATGCAAATTCGTTCCCCGCTATTGGCTAGTTTTAAATTATTCCCACGTGGCGGCTAACGATTGGCCTGTTATCCATATAAGAGGCTTGAGCAGTTTCTGCCCAAGCCGAAGAGGACTCCACATCCATCTCGTGGGGACTCTGGATACACGGCAGGGTAACAGAGACCCTGTGTGAGATTCAGAGGAGCTTGGTGACCTGATCCATCGCCCACCTCTTCCCGTCTTCGATCGTAAATTTTATAAGACGTATCTCCGATTTCGATTTTGGTGGCGCGTTCACCCAGAGCATCCAGAGCTCTGTTCCGTGGAGCCTAGCAAACTCCACGAGGCCGTCCGTGTTGTCTGTGTCTGTAACCGCAACTCAAGCAAGTTTTCCAGCCTACACCACTGCCATCTCAGTGTAAGTAAACAATCTTTAAAACTACCGTTAAGCGTTTGTGCCTAATTCCAGCTCGTCGCCCTCCCTCTCCGATCCAGCGTGCCCGGGCTGCTGGCCACAGCCCGCGTGCAGCACGGAAAAGGGCTCGGGTCGCTCCCGGCCCGCACACATCCCACAATAGAACCCTCACCATTCCTGGATCCTACATCTGCACCTCCAGAAACGTAATATATCTTATCCAATGCACTAAATGCCCAGACGTAAAATATGTAGGAGAAAGCAAACAACAACTGCGTACCAGAACGAACGCACACCAGAAGTCTATCAAAGACAAAAATACCCAACTACCTGTAGGAGCACACTTCTCACGAGACAATCTCTCTTTCCCCAATCTCTCAGTTCTAATCCTCAAAGGGAATCTACAAAACACCTTTTGTAGATAAGCCTACAAACTTCACTTCATAAATCTACTGGATACAAAAAAATCATGGACTAAATATAGACGTTGGATTTATGGCACATTATAACCTGCCTGCCGGTTGATAACCCCAGGTAACCTGTCTGCATTTTACCAGCTATATTCTATCTCCACTTCAAATTCCCCCTTTCCCTGCCCTACTACCTGTCTCACACCTATTGTCTCACACAGCCTTTGAGCCTCACTTCTATGCATTTGCATTTTCACAGACCTGCATTTTGCATATTGGCTTCCATTCCACCCAGAAGAGCACACAGAGCAACAACAAACTCTCCCTGTGCCTGAAGAAGTGTGTTTGTACTCAAAAGCTTGCAAAGAACAAGTTTTCTAACTATTTAGTTGGTCTAATAAAAGATACCACATTTACGCAAAGAACATTGTCTGCCTGTGAACCTCTCTTAGACGCTGAACCCTGCCCCTGGAAAACGGAGGTCACCTCCTTTGAAAAATGTTTTGAGATCTACCAGTAGTGACAAAAAAAAGCGCTTATCAATTCATTTGAGTACAAATCCACAATATCTGCAACTCTCTACTCTTGACAAACACTTTTCATACAGAAACAATCCTATGCGCTGATTGGTGACCTAGCAACATTATATTATCCACAAACCAGCATTGTTACTTTCTGAGTTAGCATCCATAAAATGTAATAATAATGCTTTCTTATTATTTTAATTCACTCCACGGAGCAAGGAGGCAGAACCCACTGCTCCCCCTTAGTAATATGCGCTAACAACCACCCTACAGAATTCCTACTCCTACTTACACATTTACTTCTGGTCATAATTTTGAGACGAATGGCTAAATTTCTCCAGTTATTTTTCAGAACCAATAATCCCTGTTGTTTTCCTAGAGCTTTATCTTTTTTTAAAAAACCAAACATTTTAAATTTATTTTAAGGTTACAATTAAATGATGCTTAGCAATTGTGCTTTAACTATGTCACATGTTCCTGAGCTATCATACACAGTCTTGTGCTAGTTTCGGATATTAATAACCCAAAGATTGTATCCATATTAGCATGTGTGTTAGTTAATGCTCCACAACAGTCTCTGCATGGTAAACAGCCCCTATCAGAACTTTATTCTCGGTGCTTTTTAAAGATCCACTAATGATTCAATTCTAGTTCCTGGTAGTCCAGAGGTTTGGCTGAGAAAGCTGAGGTCTAGCCTCTGAGAGTGTGCTACCTCTCCCTTTTTGAAATCAGTTTAAAAGGAGCCTGTACATGCAATTCACCCACTTTCTTTTCCGACGTGGAGCAGACCCTCTAAAGATTCCCTTTGTGTTCTCCTCCGGGTTTTATTGGCAAAAGAACAGTTTTAATTTACTAAGAAAAACAAAACTTTATCTCTGCCAAGGTCCTTCCAGTTCCACGACGCCGGATTTATTGGCTTTTATATCGTGCAGTTTTATCATTTTCGGCAAGGAGCACTGGAAACTGAAAATATACTTTCCCCTCTTTACTTGATGGTAGAATAGGCGCGATTTCCGGCCGATATTGTGCAAAAAACACACTTTTTTAATTCCGAAGAAACACAAACAGAGCAGGGAGAAGAGCCCTCTCTGCCTGGCAGCTGGGCGGACTCTGCAACGAACCAATCACAGAGCAGCTCTCGTGTATAAATTCAAGGCACCTACCAGCGTGCGTATCAGTGTATTTTGTCTGCGGAACGTCTCTGACAATGTCGGAAACTGCGCCTGCTGCAGCCCCCGCCGCCGCGGCCCCGGCCCCCGCCGCCAAAGCTCCTGCGAAGAAGGCGAAGAAAGCGGCGGGAGGCGCCAAAGCGAAGAAGCCTCTGGGTCCCAGCGTGACCGAGCTGATTACCCAGGCGGTAGCTGCTTCCAAAGAGAGAAAAGGCGTCTCACTGGCTGCCCTAAAGAAGGTGCTGGCAGCCGGCGGCTACGATGTGGAGAAGAACAACAGCCGCATCAAGCTGGGGCTCCGGGGCCTGGTGGACAAGGGAACC